CCATAAAATTGAATGAGGTTTTAACCTTTAAAAAAAGGTCTCTATTTCTTTTAAAAATATACTGTTTCATCCAGAAAAGCTCATTTTTAATACAACTAACACATAGATGTTTGCACACACATCTCTAATCTCTACATATCTGATTATTACTGGTCACAGTTGGTTACTTTCTGAGATCCACCTGAGCATGGATATAAACTCATCATGTAGATTTCAATGGTAATTTTTTTCATATCAGCTAATTAACATGAAGCAGATTTTTATGCTTCTTCCTCAAATGTAACTCATTTTTTTATTCATTGATTTTTTGTGTGTGTGCATATTTCATACAGAACATCCCAAACAATCTTATTCATCTTTATACCCGCATCCCAAATGGCACCCTCCCATAGCCCTTCCCCCACCCCCCAATGGAGCCCATATACTCTGTCATCCCTGTACTGTCCACTCTGTTATCAGTACCTGGGCCAAGAATCTTAACATGGCTTCTGCTACTCTCTGGTTGAAGAGGATTTTCCTGGTGTCTCTCCTTTTCTTCTTCCTCAAATATTTGTTTCTGAGAGTACAGTGCCAATTTCCTGAGCCGCTCTGTCTTAGGTTATGGGACCAGTCCTTCCCTCTCACCGAAAGGAAAGAGCTTCTCAGGCCATAGCAATCCCTCTGGATGGACTCTGGACGTTTTCGTTGTTGTTGTTTTTTAAGTACACTGGATGTGTGTGTCTCCTTTTTGAACACACCAAGCTCCTTCTTGTCTAGGGCCTTTGTACTAGCTGTTCCTTCAGGCTGAAACACTCTTTCTACCTTGGTACTCCTTTTTACCTCAGGTGTCAGGTGAAATGTTCCTTCAGAGATTTCTCTGATCAACCAATCAAAACTAGCTCGTACTGAGTCCCTTTTATGCCACTTTATTGCTTCTGTCACTGCCCTGAATCACTAGCTGGAGTTTCATGAGAGCCTGAATCTGTTCTGTTCTATTTGCAGTTGATAGAACAGCACCACGGAGTAGTACTCAAGTATTTTTGAGTAAAAGCTGCTTTGACTTTCATCTTTATATAGTTGGCTTCTTATTCGTCAGCCCTCAGCTTAATTCAGCACTACAAAGTGGCCTTCCTAACCAGCATCCGTCTCCACATCTTCATAGCATGTATTACTATCTGAAATCATCCTTCCCTAATATGTATTGTCTGTTTTCCGTATTATGCAACTCAAGAAAGCAAGAACCATATTTATTTTGTTCACCACTCTACCCCTAATACCTAGCTCTGCCAAATGAACAGTGGTTTTCAAATAATAATTGCTGTTGCAGAAAGGGGGTGGGGGCTTGGTGATACAGCTCTTGCTAGTCAGATGAGCGCTCCCTGGGTTCTATCCCCAGCACTGCGGGGTAGGGCGTACTGAACTAATAGATGAGCCTGGCTCCTCACCTAGGTCTGTTTACAGCTGAAGCCCCTGGTTTCAGGAAGATGCCTGATACAGGAGAAAGACTTCCTAGAAGAGGAAATAGTGCGTTTTATGGTCTACTATGCCTTTGTAATTCTCACACCTACAGAAGCTGTAAAAAACTAAGCAGAGATATTCAGAAATATCCTAGGAAAAGGATGTTTTCTTCCTTGCTTGCAGGAAGGTGGATTCCGGATGGGATCCAAAAACTCCTCTAGGCTGTAGCACAGCTGGAAAGTTAGCAGTTATGGAAGTAGTGCCGAGGGTGGCCGACATGGGGACAGTGGATCTCGCTTCATTCCCATCGGAGTTTGACTGTTGCTTCAGTTTCTTGCTGTGTACGACCTTAGAGTAATGTTAAGTTCGTCTTTCCTCAAATGCAAAACAAGAGTCCTGACAGATAATCAAGGTGTTTTACTGATGCCCATTTGCATTATGACTACCCGTCACAGCCTGCTAACTTTAGCAGCCGCTGTGGGCTGACCTCCGTTCTGAGGAGCTGTGGGAAGCTTCTTGCTCTTTTGGGTGGAAAGTTTGTGGGTGCGGGAGGCGGGTGGCGCTCTAGTTGCGCGGCCCGCCAGGTCTCTGTGGTGGCGGCCTCGCGCCTGCGCACTGTGTGCGTGCAGTGAGCTAGGTGCACGCCGGGTGGGGGCTGCGGAGAGGGGGCTCTGTGTCCGCAGGTAACTGTCCCCGGGTCGCTGGGGAGGGCGGGGCGGCTGTCTGGGCACGGGGCGGGTTTCTGTCCACCCAGACCCAGTAAGAGAAGTCCCCAGGGTCCAAGGGCCCCGCGACGGTACCCCGCGGACCCAGCAGCTGACAGCCCAGGGAGATGCCTCGGGAGGTTGTCCTGGGGGTGTGGTCCGGAGCCTCACCGGCTGCTCTTATTACTGAGGAGCAAGTCTGCGACGTGCTTTCTTCATGGTGTAGCTGTACTCAGTCATTCCTGTGTTGACCAGAGCCACCTTTTACCTCCCCACACCCTTCATTTGGGTTCACCTTGCCACAGTCCACCTGCTGCATAAATGGCCTTCTTTCTCAGGGCTGTCCTCTTCTAGATCCACTCAGTTTTTCGAATTCTCTGCGTACTGACGTCCCAAAGTAGCCATGCAGTTCTCAAGTCAGACCAGAATCCCAAATCAGGGTGTGGCAACCAAAGCTATGGTCTAAATATATGGTTCCTTAACCTCCCAAAGCTACAATTTTCTTGTCTGATGATGCACATTATTGGAAAGATGAAAGTTGGTGAAATATGAGACATTCAGCATCCTGCTGGGCACGTCAGCACTGTTATTTAAGTAGTTTCCAGATGAAACACTTTCTAGAATGAAATGCAAAAATTAATAAAAAATAAAACAGTTCTCATTGATCATGTAGTGATGTTAATGCTGAGGGGTGCTCAGTGAAGAGCACGTTTTAGTTAAAGGATGATGCAGTTTGATAATTATGTAGTAAAGCAATAGAAATATATGTCAGGAACCGGAAATGTCAGTTTCTCAAATGTACATCTAAAACCTGTGGGAAGCAATTCATAACTAGGCAGAAAGATGACTATTGGAGCATTGTATATTATAATGAAAACATTTGAACTTTTTGTAATGGAAAGTTTTAATGTTATTTATTTTATGTGTATGAGTGTATTGCCTGCCTGTAAGTAAGTGCACCTGTGTTGTGCAGTGCCTGTGGAAGTCAGAAGAGGGTGTTGGATCCCCTGGAACTCTAGTTAAGGATGTTTGTTAGCCACCGTGTGGGTGCTGGGAATTGAACCTGGATCCTCTGCAACGGCAGTCAGTGCTCTTAACTGCTGAGCCAACTCTTCCTATTACAGGGAATGGGAAATTTTAAGATATACAAAGGAGAGTAGGTAAATGAATCTTTGTGTCCATCACTATCAACAATATTTTGTTTATCTTGTTAATGAAAAATTGTGAACTATTAAGTGTCTAAAAGTAAATTGGAATGCATTTAGAGTACTGGGGTATTTTGAAAATAGTACAGAATTGTGTATATACTGTCACAAATATGAACATTCAGAACCAAACCAGCATTCTATCTGTAGAACAGGCAAGGAGGAAGTACAGTTAAATAGTAACTTGTTGCCTTTTAGTGGTGGGCATATGTCTGTTTGAAATTTTTATAAATATTCCATAAATGGGGCCTGGAGAGATGGTCACGGGTGCACTTACCTACAGGCAGGCAATACACGCATGCACATAAAATAAAAATAATAAAATATTTTAAAATAAAAAAACAAATATTCCATAAATTATGTATTACTGTTGTGTAACACAGAAACAAGAAACACCTCTAAAAAACTACACATGGACTGAGCACAGCAGAATGCACCCGAGCAAATCCACTGTTAAAAAGGATTTATTTATGCTCTAACGTCCCTTGGTCTATTTTGGGGTTTTTGTTGTTGCCCTCTCCCTGTAGCCCCAGCTGACCTGGACTTGCTATGGAGACCAGGTTGGCCTCCATCTCAGAGAGCTACCTGCCTCTCCCTCCCAAGTGCTGAGATTAAAGGCATGTGCTGGCAGCTCCCTTGATCTAGTTTTGTACTCCATTACATTATCATTCTTGTCTGCCACCACATATCAGTGTTTGGTATTGAGCCTGTATGATCCATTTATTTGTCCAAATCTTTTTAAGTTTTAGTTTAGTTTTTTGAGAGAGGAGTCGCACTATGTAACAGTGGCTGGCATGGAGCTCACTATGTAGACCAGGCTAGTCCCCAACTCAACAAAACTCTGCCTGCCTCTACCTACTGAGTGCTGGGATTAAAAGTGTTTACACCATGCCCAATTTCCCAAATCTTTTTTTAAAGAGTTTATTTTAAGGGCTGGAGAGATGGCACAGTGGTTAAGAGAACTGGCTGCTCCTGCAGAAGACCTGGGTTCAATTCCAAGCACCCACATGATGGCTAATAGTAAGGCCAGTTCCAGGGGAATCCAGCACCTTCTTCTGACTTCCGCAGGCATTGTTTGACACTGGTGCACTTACATGCAGGCAATACACTCATACAAATAAAATTTTTTAAAAAGATTTTAATTTCATATAGTGTCAGGTGGCACCTGTGGTGGTCAGAGGACAACTTGCAGAAGTAGGTTTCTTTCCTTTCCTCATGGGGGTGCTGGGAGGTTGAACTCAGGTCATCAGGCTTGGAGGCAAGTGCGTTTATTTCTTGATCCATCTTGCTGGCCCTACATGTCCAAATCTTAAAACCAACTGTCCTCTGGGTGTTATCAATGTAACTCTGTAAAAATTTGTTCCACTTATTTCTACCAATGTTTCCTGCAGCCATACAGAATAGTTTCCTGTGACAGGATGAGGCCTCCCTGCCCCTGCATGCTGTTCCTGCTTAAAGAGCAGGAATCCAACCCAGACTTTATGCATTTGCACGCTTCTAAAGCAACCATTTCTATTTTGGTTGGGAGCTAGAACTGCTTTTTAAATTAAGGATATTACACGTTTAAAGACAGTTCATGGGGGGAGGGCATTACTTTCTAAGAAAATGGGTAAATGGATTTGTTTCATGTCTATAAAGAAGTGTCATTTAATAGGTATGCAAAGAAGCCTTTTCATCCTGATGTCTTCAGAGATACTATGGATCAGTCCGGAGTACTCCTCTGGGTAAAAGCAGAACCTTTTATAGTGGGTGCCTTGCAGACCCCCCCTCCACCCAAATTCAGTCTCCATTATCTCAGGAAGATATCCACCTATGTGCAAACCCGGGCCTCAGAGGGTGCTTACCCACGTCTGTACTGGTCTACGTGGAGGCACATTGCATGTGGGAAGCTACAGTTGGCTAAGGATCTGGCATGGCTCTACTTTGAAATATTTGATAATCTTTCGGTGAGGACACCCGAGGAGCGCCTGGAATGGTCTGAAATTTTGTCCAACTGCACATCTGAAGATGAAGTTGAAAAGCAAAGAAATCAGGTATGGACTGGTATATGTATACTTTGAGAAATAACCCACTCATTTTTATTTTATTTTATTTTATTTTTACTAAGCGTACTGTTTGAGGTTTTAGGTTGAACCATTGTTATTCTAAAGTACCATTTGAATTCTAGTAGTTCCAGTTTGGCAGTATTTGATGAATGTAGTCAATGAATTGGTCTGTACTTATCAGTACTTAACTACTGAAGGAACCATGAAATTGGAAACAAAATGTTTTCATTGACTTTAAAAATTTGGGGTGAGTAAATGTCATTAACTGCTGATACATTACAGGTAGAGGCACCTAAATTTGTGTGTGTGTGTGTGTGTGTGTGTGTGTGTGTGGTCATTATAGAGATGATTTTAATTACAAGACAACAGATGAACATGTAAATAACTTCTCAGGATCTGTCTAGTCATTGTGATGTATATTGTCTTTCCTTTGCGAAAAAACAGCACCACATGTTCGACACTTAGTGGCAGCTTGTCTCCTCCATCACTCTACTTCTGTAGAAATGATAATAAGTTTATTTAAGCATTCTGCCTAGGATTGTTCATCCACTTGTAGAACTCATAACCCCTACGGAGCCCACCATGTCTCTCTGCTTCATCGTGAGCTCTCAAATGGTGGGGATTTGCTTTCTGGGAGTGCCAAACTGTGGGCTATGGTCTGTGGGCTGGGTTTTAGATTACTGCATCTTGCGCTTTGATGACAGAGCAGGATTTTACTGAACTGCATCCATTCGGGTGGGCAGTTGTAATTGTTTACCAATCCAGTCAGAGTTATGATCAAACATAAATACTTCTCAAACAAACAAGCCAGTCAAAAGCTTTCTTCCTGTGCTGGATAGCTTCAGTTGTCAACTTGACACACCTGGGTGGAGGGACCCTCAACTGAGGAAATTCCTCCATTGGACAGGCCTGTGGCCATGTTTGTGGTGCATTTTCTTGATTGTTGAGTGATGTGGGAGGGCCCAGCCTACTGTGGGTGGTACCATCACTGGGCAGGTGGTCTTGTGTTGTATAAAAAAGTAGGTTGAGCACAGGCCACGGGAGCAAGCCAGCAGGCAGCAGTCCTCCATGGTCTGTACTTCCTTTCCTGCCCTGAGTTCCTGCCTTGGCTTCCCTTGGTGATAGACTGTGCTGTAAGTCAGATAAACCCTCCCCAAGTTGGCTTTGGTCAGTGTTTTATCACAGCAATAGAAAGCTTACTAGAGTGACTGGAGAGAGACAGTGGTTAAGAGCACTGGCTGTTCTTGCAGAAGACCTGGGTTTGAATCCAAGCACCAACATGGTGGCTAACAGCCATCAGTGACTCTAGTTCCAGGGGATCCGACACCCTCTTCTCTCCTGCTGGGCATCGCTCAACACAGGTGCACTTATACACATGCAGACATAACATGTTGGAGACCTCTGTTACGCAAAGTAGAAGTCCCTTCACGACCGGACAGCTCATGCAGCTCGGGATCATGTGCTGAGGGCTCCTTTCATAGCAGGGTGCCTCCCTGGCATCCTTCCTGACTCCTTTTGAAGTGCCCGCCACAAATGCCATAACATAAACATGGCCTTTGGCTCTGAAAGGTACCATGCTTTCCTGTGTGATTTTTCCAGGCAGACAGCAGTCTGGCAGAAACCCACTTCCATATGTAAATAGAATGCCTCACAAAGCATCTAACAGCCAAAGCTTTTACCACTACCCCCATGGTATAAGTATCCTAGTCTTCTCTTAATAGACAGAGAGCTGGGTCGCAGAGCTGCTGAATTACTGAGAGCAGAGACACTTAATAAAGCTGTAACACAGACTAAGCCGAGTCTTGAGTCCCGTGCCTTACTACCGGCGACCTAGCCTCTCCGGGGGGCGCACTCCCTCGTGAACGACTTGCGGACATTCCTAGCTTTCTCTGTCCTCGTACTCTTCCCGTGGGGTTCAGTCGCCAGTGGATCTCGCATCCTGAGGAAAAGTACACGGGTGAAATAGAGACAGGATTCAGCTGGACAATGCTCCAGTAGCAAAGAAGCTGTCAGCACCAGAGACGCATGGACAGAGACACGGGACCCGAGCCTGCGGGAAAAGCCTGCCCCCGCCGCTGGGGCCAGAGATGCCTGTGGCCAGAGCCGTGCCGCGACTCGCCAGGTGTGGCGGGGACCCCGAGATCCAGGGGCCCAGAGCGACCCCAAGATACCCACACACCCCACGCCTGAGGCCCATAGAGACACGGAAAAGCCCGTGGGGCCAGACCTGCCTTCCTCCAGACGCACGGCGGGGGAGCCTGCGGACCCGCCGTGCCATTCCGGGAGTGCGCCCAGAGAGCGTGCGCACGCACGCACCGTAATAACACTCAAAGTAAAAATAAATTTTTTAAAATTTAAAAAAAGAAAGCTGACTAGAACATTTGCTAGTCATAATCTGGCAAAAGAAAAATCTAGTTTATAAAGCGCATTGCCATTTCTTCTGGAAAACCTCAAATGTTTCTATCAGTGTAGCTTGCTTTATATCTCCAATTTTCTAATTTTCCTCTTTTAATATGGCAAGCTTTAAATCTTGCCAAGGAAGGACTGCTTCTCAGAAAGTACAGGACCTGTATTAGTCAGTGTTCTCTAGAGGAGCAAAACTGATAAAATACACACACACACACACACACACACACACACACACACACACACACAAGGTTTTAGATTGGTGTACAGGACAGAAACCCAGAGGTGTGAAACAACAGCTGTTTCACACTGGAGAGGCAGCAAATCAATCCACAAGGCTCGGTGCCTTAGCAGTCCCAATATGGTGCTAGAGGCCTGGAGGAAAGCTGCTAGTCTTCAGTCAGGCTAGTCAGGAGCTCTCCAGCACGAACCAACCTACCGATTCTTGCTAGGACGACTGGCAACCAAAATGGAGGGTTGTGACTAGCTATGCAGGTTAAATGGGAGCCCAGGAGCAGTGGGATCCTGGCTTAGTCCCAGAGCAGTAAGATACCTATTTTTAAATAACATCTACCACGTACTAGAATTGAAAAATGATTATGATAGAGCATTTATTCATCCATTTTTCTCTTACCATTAAGACACACCACAGGCTGGGCCAGTTTTAAAGAGCCTTATGTTGGCACATAGTTCTGGAGATTCAAGGTTGATGAGCCACATATGGTGATGACCTTATTGTTGGTAGAGTTTCAGAGCAGTGTAGGGCATCACATGGTAAGAAACACTCATGTGTACCTGTGTATATGCTCATCTCTCTTCCTCATAAAGTCACCAGTATTCAATTTTATGGCTTTTCCCTGATGTGTTTGTATAATCCTAATCTCCTCCTAAGGGCCCCACCTCTCAATTATGGTCACATTGTTTCATCCCTCACAATGAGGATTAGGTTTCAACATGAATTTTCAGAATAGATGAACCAGATTCAAACCATAGCATTCTGCTTCTTTATCTGCTCCACACAACTCATGTCCTCACAATACAATAATACCATCCAAATAGTCCCAAAGCCTGTTCCAGCATCAGTTGACAGCTTCCATGTCTAATATGAAATTCAAGGCAAACTTCAGCTATGAGATTATAAAATCAAGTTTTATCTACTTCCAGCATGTAGTGGAACAGGCAACAGACTAGTAAGCATTCCCATTTCAAAAGAAATAGGCAAACAGAAAGCAGTAATTGGCCCAGAGCTCATCCAGAAGCCATCAGAGCAGAGATGAAATGTTGAAATGTTAAAATTCCAAGTTCTCTCTCCTGGGCCTCTGAGAGGCCCCGCCTCAGGGTTTACTAGGCTCAGCCTACACTTCAGTTCATTTTAGTCTCATGACTACAGGTGTACCTCTAAGACCTCAGGTAACCCTGCCTCTGTGGCTTTGCTAGGCTCAGCCCACACTTCAGCTCTCAGTTTAGAGTCTCCTGAACACAGCTTTCACAGCCTGGCATTGTACACTGGCTGCTCTCAGTTACGGGGTCCTAGTAGCAGTTCAATTCTTTCTTTTTTAAAAATATTTTATTTTTTAAAAAATGTATGTGTATGAGCATATTGCCTGCATGTATATAAGTGCACTCAATGTTGTGCAGTACCTATGGAGGTCAGAAGAGGGTGTCAAACTCCCCTGGAACTGGATTGCAGTGACTGACTGTTGCTAGCCATCATGTGGATGTTGGGAATTGAACTCAGGTCTTCTGCAAGAGCAGCCAGTGCTCTTAACTGCTAAGCCACCTTTCCAGCCGTGAGAGTCTTTTTGAGACAGGATCTCCCTGTAGCTTCAACTGGCCTGGAACTCCCTATGCAGACCAGCCTGGCCTTGATCTCACAGAGATCCACCTGCCTCTGCCTCCTCAATGCTGGGATTAAAGGTATGCACCATCATGCCCAGTTGGAAATTAAATTCTTACAGTTTCACTAGGCGTTATGCCAGTGGGGCTCTCTGCAGCAGTGTCCAAGGCAGGATTCTGTTTGGCCTCTAGATTTGGCTTTGAAATATGGGTGGAAGCTGCCATGCCCCCATAAGTCTTACATTCTGCACACTTGGAGAATATGTCACTCCAACAGCTGACGCTGCTCCTTTGGACTAGTGTTGTAACCACCCTGAGTCTATTCCTTGAGACAGTTCTGTCCTCTAAGCTCTGGCCCCGTGGTGGGAGAAGTAGCCTCACAGATTATTGAGATACACTAGCAGGTCTCATTGCCCTGGTCCATAGCATCTTGCAGATCTCTTTAGCAGATAGCTGGACTGCACCTATCCAGTGGTAAAAAAATATTTTTCCATGGGTAAAAAATATTAGGCAGCCGGGCATGGTGGCTCACATCTTTAATTCCAGGGCTCAGGAGGCGGGCAGGTGAATCTCTGTGAGATTGAGTTGAAACTGGCCTGGTCTACATAGTGAGTTCCAGGCCAACTGGAGCTACAGGAAGACCCTGTCTTAAAAAAAAAAAAAATAGATTAAACAAAGTGCAGAAATTGACTTGAGAATGATTTATTCTAGTGACAAGGAAAGACTTCACAGAGTATGTTAATTAT